CCAACCTTATTCTTCCAACTACTCAAGCCGCACCACATCAAAACAAATCATCCTCATCCTCACTGCTAAACGACTCCATCACCTCATCATCCTCATCGTCCTCATCACCCTCGGACACAATCTCCAAAATCCCATCATCCAAGTCCACGTCATCAACCAAGAAATCAACATCTTCCTCGCCATCAGCAAACTCACTCGCAATATCATCATCATCGCTCAAATCGTCCCCATCCATCTCCTCTTCCAAAATTTCATCTCCATCCTCGTCATCATCATCATCCTCCTCGTCACCCTCCTCCTCATCATCTTCCTCGCTCTCTGCGTCATCTTGGTCCGAATCATCATCGGTCGGCTTCCTCCGGCCAATCTCATAAACCCGAGCGGAAGAGTACATCTCATCCTGATCGTCCATGGTGACGAGTCCCACAAAGGAGTCGGTGGGCTCGGTGGCAAAATCGAGCACACAGCGGTCAACTGGGATGGTGGCGATGTCGGAATAGTTGACCGAGTCAACCGTGCGGAAGGCAGAAAAGAGAGGGTGCTTCACACGCCGGCCGTTGAAGGCCGAGGTCACGTCCTCAAGGTTCCGCCTCAGGATGGCGTAGATAACGTCTCCCCCAGCATTGAACGTGATGGTAGTCTGGTCCAGTGATGGGACACTCCGCAGAAGACGGAAGTTGCGTAGGTCCCATACCTCTGAGTTTATGATCACCTGTTTGACAGTTTTTACAAGCAAAATAAAAAATTGAGAGAGAAAATGAAGGATAGTTAAATATTCAAATGAGGGAGTTATTTGCAATTTGCAGCTTTCAAACACCTGATTTTTTTCTAACTAGAGAACCCCAGGGATTTTCATTTGCAACCATCCCTAGTTTCTGTTTCTATTTTTCATTTTCGCGACTTTGTTATAAATATAAAACGTCAGAAAATGTGCTCATGACAATTTAGAAGAATAGTGTCGTAATTTGAAGAACACCACCAGTGATTTGATCAAAGTAAGCCTCCATATTAGTTTTTGCAATTATCCACAATAAAACAGGCATGAAAAAATAAGCTACGGCATAAAAAGTCATCTGAAGTCCTCAAAAAATTCAAGAACTACATACCTCATTCCCAGCAGGATGAAATCCTCCACCGCCATAGTCAGTGAACTGATCAAACCGATGTATCGGGTCTGGGCTCCTGTGGTCCCACAACACCCCATTCCAAAGAAGCCTGGAATCGCAAGGGCTGAAGTGAACGAGTGAGTATGCTTGGCCACGGCCCGAGATATTGCTCGATGCATCCGTTAACGTCATGTCCAGCTGATACGTATGGACATCATACAAAAGAATCTCCCGGCGAGACGAGTCGGCCCGCAATGCGGCAAACTTCGAGCCCGAATTGCTGAAACGGGCAGCTTTGATTCCATCAAACGAGTGCTTGGGCCCACTGGAAATTGAGGAAGCGTCCCACAACCGAACATCCATAGAACTCGAAGACAGGACAAACTGATTCTCTGCGGAAAAGTGACTCTGCACAAGGGTGAGAGGAGACTGGTGGCTAGCGAAGCTCTCCAAGACGGTGTTGTTGTTCGAATCAAACACTCTCAGCTCCCCAGTGTGACTGCCAAGGGCAATACGGGACGAGTCCCCAAGGAAAGCAATACAGGTGAATAAGGAACTATTGTCGTCCCTGCAAGTTCTCCACGGTCTGAATCGGCTGTACACAAATTGGCGGTCCTTGCGTTTCCCGTGAATCCCGCCATACATGTTTCTGAATTCGCGGGTGCTAAGCCTGGCTGTGACATTAGATGGGGCATCAAGGCTTCTTTTTGGTTCGGGACAGACGTGAGGGTGCAAAAGCGAAAGTGGGGGTAAAGTCGTAATAGGAGCCGGGCACTGGCGGTGCTGATGTTTCAAATACTGAACGACGAGGGAATCCAAGGTCAGCCGTTCGGAGCCCGAGGGCTGTGAGTCAGACAGAAATGCAGGTTGAGCGGAAGTAGGCTGAAGGGTCAGCGGGTTTTCATCAGTATTTGGTGCATGCCAGCTGTTGTGACCTTTGGATGCAGAAATGGGAGTGGATGATAGGTTTGCATCTGACTGTACATTATTTCTACGTATACTACTAGTCGTGGCAAAACCGGGAGATTTAAGAGCATTCTCGCTCGTGTTGAGTCTCTTTGCTAATGAACACGGGCCACTTTCTTTCGAGTCGTTAAATTTGCGTTTCAAAGGCAACACTATTGGGGTTCTGATTTGGGTGTCCGTCTCCCCGCCAGATTTAAAAGAAGAAACTGATGGGGTTCCTAAAACTTCGGCAGGCACGGACACTTTCAGTGAACTAAGATTTGTTTGGCTAATCGACGGTACAGAGCTGTCGTCAATTCCGGGTACAGCTATTGAGGAACCATGTGCATCTGAGCATGATAATGGTTTCTTCTTAGCGGACATGGCAATAGAATCGCAACTCGAGCTAGGATCCTTCTGCTGAGGGGGAATATTCGGTTTATCTGACCAGAAGCCTAAGGGTGCACGTCCAGATGGCCATTGAATTTGTACAGCGGAAGATTCTTGTCCGGAGGCTTGATGTGCCAAAGATGATGGGGCAGCCAAAGAAGGTAAGGGTATCAACTTAGCCTCTCTGAGAAGTGCAGCTGCACTGTCTGCTAAACCAGATGCTTGTAGGTGCTCGTGGATCAGGAGCAAAAGTTCCCTGATTTGAAAATAAAAGGTGCATAGAGTGAAAATAAGCAAAAGAAAATCAGTGGCGATGATGGTTAGAGAACACGAATCGTCAAATTTATACCTAGAATGATATGAAATAGGAGTAGCTGCAGCTATAGCGGCTCTCTCAATACGCCTTAAAGTCGGGGTAGCTGCATCACAGGCAGCTAGAGTACTTGCACGCCCAGAATTAGTCACAACCTTTGGAAAAATAGTAGGATTACAAAGATGGACTATATGAATTGTTCAACTGGATGAAATAGGATTCTTCACCAAAAGAAAGCTCAACTATACAAGAGATGAATCTTTATGCTAGACTGCTAGTGACATCAGCAGTTTGACTAGCTCATTACACACATTTTGGATGTGATGCTAGTAGCAGCAATATATTAAAAGCTAATCCACACAGCTGATCAGCTTAAACCCCATGTCTCATAATATAACAATGGTCTGAAAATAACAGTGCTTACCCCAATCAACTCAATTGTCACTTGGATGAGTTCTGTTAGCCACCTGTTCTGTTCACCCCCGGTGGTTTGGCTCCCCGAATCTCGAATAAGTTCTGAGAGTTTTTTCCCTACCTGGAAAGAGATGTCAAATTGACATGTGACCAAATAAATGCAAAATTGCTTTAGGGAGATTGTGCATAAACACCAAATGGTACATCAAAATGCACGGGTACCTGAAGCTTAGTCAGTATGTGTGCAATTGTATCATCTCTGGCTAATCCAATAAGAACCCGGCATGTGAGAGCACGGAGACAATCGAGAGCAGCAGGAGATGTCACCATCCGAGGTTGGAGAAGCTGAAGAAGGATTTTGATACCGTTGTTTGCTCGAACGGCTTCTCTAGCTTGATGATACCCTTGTTCGAGTTGTGCAGCAAGCCCAGCACAACCCGCTCCTCCACCTAAAGATATTCTACGATCTCCAACCAACCCAGAAGTAACTGTAGATGCAGACACTTGTAATGACGCATTACCAGTAGATGATGATATCGCTGCTGATGAGTTCCCTCTATCTACAGAAGCTGGTTCTCTTTCCCTTGGTTCGTTCTGACTAGGAACATTTGGAGCTCTCTCGGAAACTTGGTTTCCGGTTAGGGAAGAAAATTGTTGACCTTGACTTGGTTTGTTGCTGATTGACGGAGGAGGGCAGACAAGATTTATCAACAGATTCAATGCCGGCTCAACAATCTGACATTTTTTACCAGAAAATATTACAAAGTAAGTTACCAAAGGGACAGAAAACAAGCTCAGAGAGACAACAGGTAAGTGACATGTTACCTCAGGCTCAACATAACCAGCACCATTTGCTGCATCCAAAATAACAGCTATACCCACTCGATCATTGCTTAGTGTGGCATTCACAATAGGTTTGCGACTATAAGGAACCAGAGTCACAATATGCAATACACCAAGTGCATACTGAAGCAAATCGTGCAAATAACGGTCGACTGCGGGAGCCTAAAAAATATAGAACTCACATGTAAATACAACAGAAGAAAACAACCAGAAACCACGTGGGAAAACAGATAGAAAAACAAAAGAAGAGGTTAAAGAAAGACACCTGGCACAGCTCCAACATGGTTATATGACCATTCAAACCCAAGAATTTGTCGACCACAGGCCAACGTGCCCTCACGAGTGCAGGACCGAGTTTCCGATCCTTTTGTATCTGACGAAATACAGCATCCAGCGCCTCATTGCTTAAGTCAAGAGGCTTGTAACCCGACCTTGAATTGTTCCTGGGAGCACTCCGGATGTTTTTAGTGGGTCGAACTGAATCCACAAGCAAGAGAAGATGTGCTCTAAAATATTGCCTTAGTGCCACACATGTGTGATAGGCTATCTGCTTCTCTGAAGAGGTGAGTACCTCAGCAGGGGATCTGTCATTTCGAAGTGATCCACCATTACTTGATGATCCAGGTGGCACACCTGACCTCACTGAGGCAGCATCATGCAAAAGGGAGAGCAGTTTCTGCAAACCTTCTTGTTCATCAAATGCATCAATAACAGCTCTGAAGACGAAAGCAGCAGCAAAAAATAAAGCAGCGTTCTTCCGTGCCTGATAATCGAGTGGACACGCGAGAAGTTGGAGAGCCAGCTCAACAACCTGGTGGACTATATTTGAAGGAAGGGCACAAACACGCTCCATTATTCCCTGCAAAGTGATACTTTAGGAAACCGGCTTCTGATAAAATTTAAAGGATGAAAACATAGAAAAAGAAAATCAGATCAAGTTGCAGACTGAAGCAACTGAAGAAATAGTGGAAAAAAGTTACCTGAATCGAACCAATGGTAAATAAACAGGCCGAGAGACCAAAAAATGTTTCGGCGTTTCTTGGAACAGCAAGGAGTCTCTGCATGCCACCGCGATCCACAAATAATGCAGCAAACTTCCGATGAGCAGCTAATGCGCTGATTACCTTCAGAATATCAGGTAAAAGGTGCAAATTATTTAACGCCTCTCTATTCTTAGAACTTCTCAGCAGCAGTGCAACACAAACATCGACACCCTTTTCATGAAGTACAGGACCAAGAACTTCGACGTACTCCCCTAGAATAACAAGACACTGGATACAGAACTTCTCCCTTAGCTTTGCTAGGGAGGGGGGGTCGGGAATGGAGAACTCCAGAACATCTTCACTAGTTTCTGGATCTGTTGGCTTTGAGTTTCCTGAAATATCATCGGCGTTTCTATAATTTCTGCAGACACCAAAAGGTTAAGTGAAAATTTAGATTTAAAAATGTATGATCTCTGGGAAAATACCAAACCAAATACATAATGGTCCAATGTCAATTAGTAGCAAGGCATCATGAAGGATACAGATACAAACCTTGCGAGAGCAACTGCATTTGCAGCATCTATAACTGTGGATGCAGCTCTTGAAGCAGCAAGCACTGCAGCTTCTTCATCCTTTGTTTTGTTGTATTCCTGAAGATACATAAAGCATAGGTATGAAATGTTCAAATAATGCACTGAATAAGCAGCAAAAGTACGCTCACCTCCAATGCAGCAGTCTTCACTACTTCGGCAGCATCATCACCGGCTGCCCTTATAGCTAAAACAGGAGCATCAGCTGCTCTTGCTTCAGATTCAGCAGCTTTGACAGCTTTTTTTACCAAATCAGTGATGTCTTTAGAACCAACTTTACAGTCTTGGAAACAATCATCATTATCATCTCTTTCATGGATAAAATAATCAGTATTAATTCTACTCATGCCCTTTTTCTCATCTGAAGCTTTTTTAGGATCTTGATTTCTTCTGTCTTTCCCACTCCGTGCCTGTCCTGACCTACTTCCAGAACCTGGAGATGTCAACGATAGCTCATTCTCTGATACACCCTTTCCTCGAAATCTGGACAATCCACGAATTGGCCTTCGTCTTGAAGACTCATCTCTGACATTTTCGTCAACATCTTCTTCCCTTTGGGATTTTCCAGAAGGCTTCGTTTTAGACTCACCCGAAACTCTAATATTGGTTTTCTGTTCACCATCTTCTTCTGCCTCATGAGCATCAACCTCGAGCACCATGCAATCAGTAGGTTCCTCATCAGCCCAATATTCATCTCCATATGACTGCCTACTGACACACCGATCACTATCCCTATCAGGATTGTCTAAGAAAGCAGGATCTCTATTGGGTGCATCCAACACAGAAGTTTCCACCACTGGCCGCAACCTACCCCTACATTCTTCCTTGGCTTTGGGGATTGCGGTGGTTGATGCACTTCTGTTGTCACTAAATGGATTACCATCTTTTTGGTTAGCGTTTGTGTCGCCCAAAACACGGATACGTAGAAACCGCATTAATTTAGCTGATAATCCAGATGTTAACACATCTTCCACTAGTTGGCCACCGCTAAATCACCAACACAGAAAAGAAAAAATTAGATGAGGAAGTTATAAATGAAGATAACAAGAAAGTGAAACCCAGAAGAGTAAGTGCGGTGCCAATTTCGGAGACGCACCATGCCAAGCATACAGCAAGAAGACCAGTGGCATAACTTCGCAACATTTCAGAATCTGATGCTTTTCTTTTCCCTGTATCATGCTTCCAGTTACGATCCTCACCAGATGACCTTGGTATCTCCTCCATCACCCAGCCTCTTATGTTAGCTAGAACATCATCATCAAAAACGTGCGGATACTGTATTCCAATTCACTTACATCAAAATTCTGTTGTGAGGAAATATAAGGAAATGTCGAAAAGAAAAATAAGAACTTTACTATAAGAAATAGAGGAGCAACAATAATAACAAACAATAAATGATGATGATGATGGTCTACACATGTCGGCTATTACCATACCGTCCAAGTTGAGGAACAACTGACGAGAAGCCTTGTTGCAGCCGCTTGTACAGTTGTTGAGTATCTATTTTCAGTCAAAAACTTAGAAGATATCAATTCAAAAAATTCATCATTGTCCTGCAGAAAGAGAAAAAAGTGATTAGCAGCAGAATACTTGTTCAAAAGGTGAGCGCTCACACAACCTGAAACAGAAACACACAAAAAACACTCAATGCAATAACACATAATCCATGTGCCGTAGCTAAGTGGTCTAGCAGAAAGCAGAAAGCAGAAACCTAGTCCACAGCGCACTGGAAACGAAAACCAAAACTTGTCCACGCTTCAGAAACTCATAAGAGAATAATCAAGTGCAAAAGCAGAAGTCAGCAATTACCCGAATAAGGTTTCCGAGTCGTCCAATATTATGAGAAGACCTGCCATTATTTGTTGAAGAGTGATCTGCATCTTCCATGTATCTACACATTCCAAATTACAAGATTAACCTCAAAAACTGTTTGATCATTATGACACTTGAAGAGAAATGTCTAGCTTTTCTGTTCATCAAACAAGAAAGAACAGATCATAATCTACATTCCTGCCCACTCAAACATGCCAAACAATAATGAATGGTTGAATTCACTTCACAGACAACCGAAACCTGACCTGGTCTGGTAAGATAATATTCGCTGCCCCAACCCCACCAGAAAAAACTGGTACATACATACTAACTACAATAACCTACTGGGCCAATTTCACCTCATAACGATTTAGTTGAGAAATACTAATAAGTACTAAGCTCAAATAGATCGACCAAATTATACAGGAACAGGTCCATACTATGACCAATGGAAATACAACAAGCAATGACATAGTAGGACTAACACTGAACTTAAAACTGCTTCCACTTTATTATAGAAATGCAGAAACAACCTAAGTACCACAATGCTCTTTTGACAAATTGTATTAGATTTGCTTGAAGTGTCCCAGTTTTTCTGCTCACAGAATATTCCAGTGCTCACAGTAGATTTCATAGATTCGGGGGATGGGGTGTGGTCCCATAGGGGTGAAGCACACCTTAAGAGAGCGAGCCTAGTAGGCACCATAGTGAGGTTCCATCCAAAACCAATTAGTAATGGGTGAAGTAGCTAGGCCCATTTTCCCTAATTAGTCAATGTGGGACAACTCAAGTGATATTCCAACAGTATCCATTATAACGAATTAAGTACTTTCACGAGAAATTTAAAGAGCCTGGAACCCTTATATATGTGTTTGTGCTAATAAAAACACCACAGCATGCTGCCATATAACCAAAATTTGGACAGAAACAAAATATACTCCCAAAACTTTATTTTAATCACTACATTCTTATTCTTTCTAACCAAGCAGGTAAACTTCCACTTATTATTCAATTTCTAATAATTATTAAATTTTCCCCCACTGAGTTCTCAGTCTTGTATGCACGAAATTCACATTTTTCATGCCACACAAACAGAAAAAAAAAATATAAAAATAACAAAATAAAAGAGGAAAATTTCGTTACTGTCCCAACACCCACCCGGCCAACTCTACTTGCACAAGCGAACTATAAAAAGATTTGTTCCCACTAGCATCCCAATGGACCGTGACAGCAATGAGAACTGTTTTCTTGAGATAAAATGAAATTACAAAGAATAAGCTCTAATTCCTAACACGGAACCAAGACCTTCCCACTTCCATTCAACACACACACACACACTCACACAAAGAAGAAGAA